GAAACAAAGAATAAGGGTCAAAGTGTATTAAAGTACATGATTCACAATATTCCATCTACRTCTACATCTACATACATGTAGTTCCAGCACTTTGCAACGTTCATTTGGTTACTAGCTGTATGTTAGTATGAGGTCTCATTGACTAGTAACCATTATACAAACACTACGCCGACCTCAATGCTGGTGAGATGAGCACTAGCCACACCACCGGGAACTCCGTGCCCTACTCTTAGTCGAATAGTGGCTGGGTTCTTTAACATCCCTTTGCTGCCAATGAGATGTATAGAGAGACAGGACCTCCAATGTAACATCATTATCTGAGAGGACGTGAAGATCTTACCATTTGCAGATGGAGAAACAAAGGCAGCAACTTCTACTCAATTGTTTTAAGACACTGAGTATTGGTCCAGCCAGGGTTTGAACTCACAACCTCCTGCATTGTAGTCCAATGCTCAACCAACTAAGCCAACTCAAGGTGTGACCATATCAAACCAGTGAGTGAACAGAAAAGAAAAGATCTGTCCTCAGCAGTGTTCCTTGATGTCTCAGTTCATGGTCACTGAAACTGGGTATGGAAAGTCATGTATACACTGATGAAAAGACAAAGAAAAAGGCTGCAGAACACAGAGTAAAACTGTAGTAAACTAAAGTGTATTTCAAAGGTTAATTGAAACCACTCAGTCTAAGAAATTATGTGTTGGCTGAAAACCACTGAAATCCTCTCATGCACATGAAAAAAAAGAAGGAAAAAGCTTTGAATTAATTTTCAAAATCAAATTGAATGTCCCAAACTTCTTTTTTCAGATTTTCTATCTCTCTCCATTTTATCAGATGATCACACATTCTCATAAATTTCTAGGTTGCAAATCCTCMAAAGCCTAAGGAAGTGGCACCACCTCGCAAAATCAGTATCCTTGAAGAAATGAGTGTCTCACCCAACCAAGATGAAATAGATGAACTCATTGAAGGGGAACCCAATGTATCCCAAAATTCACCAGGACCACACCAAGGTAACAGTTATTAATCACCAGATATGTACCAGACTTGTAGAGTGCTTGCACTTAAAGCTTAAAACAAATAGTACTAATTACTACTAAATAGTGTTGATTATACAATAGGAAACAAAGGAATTTGTATAATTTATCACCTATTTTGTATTTATATTTCACGCATTTAGGGCGCGCCCTCTATCATTTTATCTACTAGAATATTAATTATCTATTTACTTTGCAGATGAAGAACAAGAGCAGACGTTTAGTAGTGTATCAAGAGATGATACTTCTACAGCATTGCCAGAAGCTGAGCTAAAGGAACTAGAATTYAGAGCAAGGGCTCTTAAATCTCTCGTCATGGCAAGGGAGCGTCAACARCTRGAGGCRAAAAAGCAACAAGAACTTTTAAATAAGACTTAAATTTGCTGTCACCTTGCAATATGTTCTCTTTATTCTAGTTTTCTACATTTATTTTCTCTTGAAGTAGTACACTTCATCCATGGAATACTTTGAATAGTTTTCATAAGCCTGTGAAATATGACTTCAGAATTTTTTCCTCTAAACAAATCAAGTAAAACATCTTTTTGTAGTGATCGTACTTAAACTGTGCAACTGTACAAAATGGTGCTATTCGGTTGTATTTAGTAACTTGTGCATGTGGTACGCAAATTAAATTGAAGCGATTCAAGTGAAGCCTTCAATACCCTCTTGCTTCAGGCCCACTTTTGGTACAAATTAGTACTACCTTAGATTTTGTACAGTTGCAGGTTTTAAGTTTAATCACTCTATCTATTTCACAGTGTTTTTTGACTTCACTTAAAAGTATTTTGTAGTTTGTACAATGTATAGTAAATGGTGTTGACAAGGAAGGAGAAGTTTACTTCTTGGTGAAGAGTGATCACACTTAAACCATGAAACTGTACAAACTAAATAGTGCTGTTTTTTAGTTGTATTTAGTTATAATCGTGCATGTGGTACGCAAATTAAATAGAATTGATACAAATGAAGCATTCTATACCATCTTGCTTCAGGTCCACTTTTAGTACAAATTAGTTGGTACTTAGATTTTTTACAGTTGCACGGTTTAAGTGCGATCACTCTATCTTTGGTTCTTGCTCTGTTTCACAGGTTTCCCAAAAAAAAAAAAAATTAAAAATTAAAAATTAAAAATTAAAAATTAAAAATTCCTTGATCCTTAGAAAAAGACTATTTAGATTTTTTTAAGTCAACTTTAATATTATAATCAGATTTGATTTTATTTGAACGTTTCTACAGACAAGTGATGTTTTGACATCTATGAAGGAGAATGCAAGTACATACACATAATACTGTTAAACTTTGTAATATTTCAAAGGTGCAGTGCTTTGAATTAAAAATGTTTCGATAATTAAGTTTTAAATTCATTCAGTATAGATAATCTCAAAATATTTTAGTCACCAGTGGCTCATCAAAATGCAGACACTCTTACGGAAAGTTATAAAAAAAAATTTTTGTGGAGAATTTCACAGGACACCTCAGAAATCCAACTCAGAAAATTCCTGAAAGTGCATGTTTAAGACCTATGAATTTCATATCTTTATAACTTTGACTTCATTTTTCCCATCAATTTTTCAAGTTTCATTGCTAGCATCATATCTCCTTTGATTTTCAGTTTTCCCGACATGAATGCTTGAGTGGGGTTAAGTTTTCCTCCGAACATCTTTATAAAGTCTTCACAATCCATTGACATTGTACACTGGGCTTGACCTCCAGGATAAGAACCATGCCCTGCCATACCTAAAGTGAACAATTGGGTTAGTTATGTCTMGYTCCGTTTTGGTGGGCTTCCTGTGGTGAAAACGGTTGTAGACGTTTGGGCTCCCTGTGTCRTAAARTKTTTRATTAACGAGGGGAGTATCCTTAATCTGTTACTTTTAAAAAACTACAATATCCATTGTATGAAACATAAAGAATGCATCGTCACAAGATTGAAACAGTATTATACCATATTGTAACAGTATTCATCCAGTGAATTTTTCAATAAGTTAAAACATTACCTATTGCGTCCGTAACAACATTGCGAACATGTCATACTTTTCCAACGTAAAATATATCCCAAGATATCGTACATTTCACCATATAATCGACACATTAATAGCAAATGTCAATTACGCAAGCAATAACGATGGAATATTTACGTTGCGACGTAATAAGCACCGTAATGCATAATGGTTTACGTAAGACATAGTTAATTAACTATGCGTAAGATTACAACTTACGTACCTGAACCGTTCTTTAAATCAAGATACCACAGTCCTGCATCCGTCCCAGAAACGTCAAACTGAAACACTCCATTGATGGTCTTAACCAGATCTTCATCGCACAATGCATTGATAGTGTCAAAGACTTTGGCTACACTTCCCGAGGGTGTACTGCCCGCTGCTTCTTGCTTTGACATCTTTTGGTGATCCTTGAGAAGAACCTCTGGGTTCGCTTCGTCGAGAAAGAAGTCAGGCAGAAGTTTACTTCCTTTAAAGATAAGATGACTACGATCAGATGACTACGAGGAACTCTGACCTTTACAATGATGCATATGAAATCTGATATCTGACAGCCTGTCACTACCTATTGTCACCTATAATTTCGCGAGTACTACAAAATTTCGCGTTTTCTTCGCGAAATTTACAAAAATTGCGAAGTTGCGTTCTTCCCTGGTCCAAAACTGGTTTTAAGGACAGCTGAAGTTCAAAGTAGGATTTCATATTCAATTAAGAGTGTTGAGCAGAGGTGTTGCACAAGGTCAACAGATAACGAACTATTGAAAAACAATAATTCAGTTCTTACGTCGTTCTTACTGGCAAATTGACGTCGTTATGACAACTAGAATAATTTAGTTCATTTGTCGTCGTTTTGGTGTTGTTGCTACTTTACTGTCGTTGTTGTTGTTCCTGTCTTTGTTATTGCTATTGTCGTTGTTTTGGTGTTGTTCCTATTGTTGTTGTCGCTATTGTCGTTGTTGTTGTTCCTGTCGTTGTCGTTGCCCCTTGTCGTTGTTGTTGCTGTCCCTGTCGTTGTTGTTGCTATTGTAGTTGTTGGTGTTGTTCCTGTCTTTGTTGCTGCTATTGTTGTTGTTTTGGTGTTGTTTATGTCGTTGTTGTTGCTATTGTCGTTGTTATTGTTGTTCCTATTGTTGTTGTTGCTATTGTCATTGTTGTTGCTATCTCCGTTGCTATTGTTGTTGTTGTTGTTGCTATTGTTGTTGTTGCTATTGTCGTTGTTGTTGCTGTCCCTGTCTTTGTTGTTGCTATTGTCGTTGTTTTGGTGTTGTTCATGTCGTAGTTGTTGCTATTGTCGTTGTTTTGGTGTTGTTCCTTTCGCTGTTGTTGCTATTGTCGTTGTCGCTATTGTCGTTGTTTTGGTGTTGTTCCTATTGTTGTCTCTATTGTCGTTGTTGTTGTTGTTCCTGTCGTTGTCGTTGTTGTAGTTATTGTCGTTGTTAGTGTTGGTGTTGTTCTTGTAGTTGTTGTAGCTATTCGTTGTTGCTGTTGCTCTTGTCGTTGCTGTTGCTGCAATATTGTTATCGTTGTTGTTCGTTCATCTATTCGAATGGCAATACGAACTGCGGTAGCCTGTGTAGCGSCCCTYAAGGGGTTGGGGAGGGCCGAGCGGAGAATGGGCAATRATAAAAAGGAAGGGKCCCTTCCTATTTTTCCTCCCCACTCCTCGCTCGGCCGGCCCTTCCYAATCCCCTTAAGRCCGCTACGCAGGCTAAATTGCRGTTRCTCTAATGTACTTACCAGGAACACATGAATATTTCTCAAAGTCATTCACACCGACATCTTTCAGTACGTCCTCGTCAATCAAGAACTGTCCGGTATATGAACGACTGTCACGTGTTAATACAACATAAGCAGCATCAGCCATGATGTCCGATGTACGGCATTGCTTTATTGCGTCTTCTCCACCAAGCATCTTCATTGCTGCTGTGGCAATAGCTTTKGGAAAATGAATGGAAACATTTCAGAAAGATAACATTTGTGAATATCAGGGTCCGTGCAGAGTATCAAAAACGAAATTTAAGGACTTTTCAAGGACCAAAATTGTATTTTCAAGGAACATCATAATCATACTACAATTGTACATTCCTACCTCACAACTTCAGCCGAACGGAATTCAGAGATCGCTAGCGCTTCGTGATAGAGATCTATCTTTTTCAAGGAGTTTTCAAGGACTTTTTCGAAATTTCCAAATTTTCAAGGAGTTTCAAGTGCCCTTGAAAACGAGTTTTCAATTCAAGCACTTTTCAAGGATTTAAGGACCTGCACGGACCCTGAATATATTTCCGACGCGTTTAAAGGCAAAATATAATCGGTTTTTAGTCATATAGCTATTTCAGAAAACGTTGGACACTGAAAATACTATATTCCAAGACTGAAATGCTTTGAGTTCTATCGCCATTCAAAAAGAGTTTTCATGGTGCCAGAGTTACTATACCAGCTCAGTATAGTGAAGAACTTCATTGGAAAGCAATTAAATTTAGAATTCAGTGTCATTTTTCATAACAACAATGCATTGCAGTCTTGTAAAGCACAATACAGTATTCTTAATTCAATGTTTTCTACATTTAGAATTGCCATTTTTTTGTATCCAGTATTCAGTATTCAACGTTTTCTGTAATAGCTGAATACACTGCCCGAAAAACCTTGTTTTCATTCGCGTGCCAGCGCATCATTATTACAATCAATCTGGTTCCGCGTCGAAACTTTTTCTTTTTGTTAGCCACCACCTTTTTAGTGCCACTGGCAAAGAGGACCGCAAGCTTTAGGTACACAATTGTACTAAAATTCATTACACCAGATTCTCACCAGTTTTTGGCCATAGTGCATTCACGGCTACTCCATCATCTTTGAACTCCTCGGCCATCCCCAGAACGCACATAGACATGCCATATTTAGCCATGGTGTATGCTAACAACGACGACACATAATCAATAATAATTACATGATATTCTAAACAATTAACAATTACAGAAAACTACATAGGCCGCCCAACTATTGCTTTAGAGAAAGAAAAGAACGCAAAATGCGGATTACCTGTGGTATACCTTGATACCTTGCCTCGCGGAATCAAAAACTAGTCTGTCGAGAGTCTGTYGCTGATCCGCRSYGTAAARCCGTGCGCATTCGTTCTTTTCTTTCTCTAAARCAATAGTTGGGTAGCCTGAGTTCATCCAGCGTTTTCMGAATGTACRGAGGCTATAGGTTGGGCGGCCTATGAAAACTACCGATAGTTTGCCTGCCATCAGATTACTAAAGAAGTTCATCACRGAACAATGTTTAATGTACAAGKGATACTGWATGTACGTGCTGTCTTTAATGGGTGTCTGTCTCTGTACACCCATCCCATTGTTGTAAGCACTAATAATCTAGGTCTGCCTTTACAGCAAGTGTCCAGGGATTGGACACCCACTAAGATTCCAGACCATTGATTTTACTCTGGTTTTAATGTCATATAGACATTGGTGTTAATCAGTTAGTATTCTCATCATATGGCAAGCAAACACAGGTAGTGCCCCAGTCCCCAACACAGGCAAGTACCACAGGTATCCCAAAAGGACAAAAGAAAAGATTACCGAAAGAGAAGGCCTTTCACAAGATTTGTTTCATCAAATTATAAAAATTGTCTTAGAGATTAAGAAGCATCGATCAACAAATAAAGGAATAATAGAGTGCAAACAATATTCCTATTTCACAGGTTGTTTGTGCCCATTGACATTGTACAAAATGCAGTCAACCCCATTAACAATAATCACTTGTAAATACACAATGACAACAACAAAGTCATTTGCTTAAATTGTTTTTACAATCATAGTAAAGGATTTTGATTAAAAACTCCAGATCATGGTTGCAAGTAAAATGTTATTGATACTGTCATAAAGTTTTGAAATTTGAGGTTGAATAATCAGTTGCAAAAACAACAAATATGATATATGCAAATGACTTTGTTGTTGTTGTTGTTGTTATGTCTTTACAAYTGAACAACATTAATGTGAATGACTATAGGCTTTACAATTACATTACCAACATGATTCTTGAACCAAACAGGATTCATGTTTAAAGGTGGACTGATATTCAATATGTGGGAATTTTTGCCTTTCTTCAAGTATGGTGCACAGGCCTGAGAACTAAAAACACAACAACATACTTATAATGAATCAAGCATTTTTGGCATAAATTTGCTTCTTACATGTAATGTAAAGAGACCTAAATAAACTGAATCAGAAATTCTTCTAGACCATTTTCATAAGTGCCTACCATCAGTTTCATGCAATTGACAACATTATGTAAACATTCAGCACTATCATATGGAAGAACTATCAGAAAGAAGTATTAATTTTGTGGAAAGTGTTGAAGCTGAGGACTAAAATACTAACAAAGTTATGGAGGAAGAAAACTCAAGGAAAAACTATAYRGATCACTCKACAAAGTCTCAGAGACTATYCRTTCGAGAAGGTTGAAACTTGCTGGGCATGTCTTTYGGGACAAGYCCTCGCCAGMTCATCTCACAGTGACCTGGTTGCCTTCCCACGGCTATGCAAACAGAGGAAAGCCCCAGACCTCATTTGTCGACACCTTACTCAACGACACATCTGCTTGCACGATCCCAGAACTCGAGACACTCATGACCGATCGGGACACATTCTCTCGCTGTCATCCCTGACGTGACCCGAAGAGAGAAGAGAGATTTGTAGGTAATTCTTTGCTGATATGTTTTTGTGCATCTTCAAACCTGTACCACTTCACATAAAAACCCTGTATTACATCTTTTAAAAGACAAAGAAGGTCACTGTAACTTTTTCTACTTTTCTGTGGCAACAAGTGCGAACACCAAAAGTAGGCAACATAAATACTGATAAATTATGCTAATTCTATTGTTTTCTTTTGTTTAATTAGCACTAATTATTGTAATACTTAGTACAGAGTGCTGCAGACTTTAAGTGTTTATACTCTAATCAATGCCAGTGTCATTGCCTTTGCCATCAGATTTTAACAATAATTATGACATCAAGTTATTATTAAGATAATATTTCTGTATTAATAAGTGGGTGTCTTAGTCTTTGGACACCCACCCGCAAGAGGTCTACAGATGTTATCTCTAGGCCTGCCTTTACATTGAGTGTCCAGCTCTTAGGACAGCCAATAAGATTTCAGGCCATATAATATTTTTATAACTCTGGTTTCAAGTATACAAGAATTCTTAGCAAATATAATGTCAGATCCGTGGAAAATCATCACTTGGCAAGACAGAACAAGATAGCATTGAGTTTCAGCTTTATTTAGTGACTTTTGGATAACAAAATTCACAACTTTCAAAAATGGCATGATATGTCAGGGTGATCGACTACGGCTTTGGGGACAAAGCACTATTAAAACAAGTCACGAAATATCACCAATTTGAAAGTTGTGTATTATTGTAAATACTGTCAGTCATACATGTTTTGAATAGCGAGATCTCCTTACCATAAATAGGTTCCTCTTCCATTGATATTGTTCATAAGGTCATATCTACAAAATCATATCATTTTTATCACTACGTAATATAAAGAATAATAAGAGGTAAAGGTTCATGGCCTTAGCAAAGGTCTCAGGTTTGACACCTTATTATAGACCAATGCAAGATTTCACCAATTTCCAGCCATTATTGTTACTGCATTTGTACTATACCAAAGGCGCTTTGTACAGTAATTYGCACATGATCAGATTGCCCTTTTCTCCTCCAAGCTTATTTATGTCAACCAATTGTCCAAGAATCTTAAAAGGCCCAGTGTGMACCATTATGTTTTGGGGATCGTGAGGGCCTGGAGGCGGCCATTTTCAGTTTATAAAGTCTATAACTTGTACTGGACATGTACGTGTCAAATCTTTGACCATCTCACTTTTCAAAGCACTTTAAACGCTAATATAAGAGTTTTCAACCWTCTGACATTCATTTTATGGTGATATTTGGATACTAGAAGTATTTTGTTGTAAATCATAACAATAACAGAGGCACACAAAGCATAATATGGTGCAAACTGGGCCCTTAACAGGTTTGCTTAACAGGGCCCTTAACAATTTTTTAGTTTTAAATTATTTCTAAATTAGTGTAATTAAAACACTCTCTCTCATGTTTTAAACTACTTTTTAAAATTTCTGTATACAGTGTAGGTTTAAATAATATCMCTTATTCCATAACTTACTTTTTCATTGGTGTTTCTAACGTTCCTGTCAAACTGATAGCACTTGCATTGTTCACCAAAATATCAATGGTTCCAAATTTTGTCACTCCTTCTTCTACAGCATTGTAAACTGCTTTTTCATCTCTGATATCAACAATGCAGGGAAGACACTTTCCTCCAGCTTCCTCCACTAA